GTTGCCAGCTTAGAACCTGCTGCAAATCCCACAGAAGTCAATTGGCATATTTTCAGTTATTTCAACAGCGTTTGTTTGGATCAGGCCAAAGATCAGGTGGCTGTTTACTTTTTGTGTGGTCCACATGCTCCTCGATGTTTTACCTTCTCCAGCTTTCCATCTGAGCTGAAAGAGGCAACTTCATCTTAGAAACAATTTATTTTCCTCTGAGGGGGATTTGGGACAAAACTTTGCCAAGCATTTTGCTGTTTCCAGCCTATGACATGGATAGTCTGGTCAACTTCACATCTGAGAAAAGGAAAGAAAAACTTTCAAAGACTCTAACTCGGAAGTGAAACTTTGCTCACTGAGTAGTAATGTAAGTGGTGGCAAAAGCAGTTGTAAAACTGCTGAATAATTCCACTTAGTAACATGTAGCTACAGGATATAGAGGTGGGGACAACAACTGCACAATGGCCTTCCTGGTCACATGGATCTGAAAGACGTTATAGCATAGCAACCACTTTGATAACATCTGAAGATTGCAAATAAGAGATGGCTTGCTGTCTTTGATGTAAGGAGAGATAAAAACTTCACTGAGGCAAAGAGCAGCACAGAGAGACTCCAAAGCAGCTCACTCAGGTATTGGTATGAGACTGAAACATCAGCTATTTCTTGGCAAATTCTTGGTGTGTTGAACCATTCAGGTGTTACAGGAGAGGCAGTTAGAGTCCAAAAATTTCATTCCACTCGTTGGTCTAGGCCACAGTCTGAGCAGTGACCTACAGCCCAGCATAGCCCAGCAGCCACACAAAGCAGCACTGTCAGTGTTCTAGTGAATTACAGATGTCAAACAATCAAAAAGGGAATTATAATCACCAAAAAATAACATGGCCACAGCCTCTCTGGTGGATCATTTGCCCAGGTGTTTTTCATACTTCTCTACAAGTGAAATAATTTCACGATATAAAATTAACTTAAAATAATGTACTTTATTGTCATGTTTAAACTTTCAACTAACTGTTATCTCCAAAGCCAGGAATTGCTTAATGGACTCATTAGTGGGGGGAGGGGGGAAATCATCCTTGTGAAAATAATGAAGAATGAGCAATTTTGTACCAACATGCATTTTCATGATAGCTTTGCTAACCTGAATTATGTGGTGACTTTCTGCTGATCCATTTGGTAGCAAGCAAAATCATATTGTCCTACCACAAGAGCACACTTGTTATTCAAAATAATTAAGACATGAGTCATCTTAGTATCAAAGTTGGCATTAGTGATATATGGGGCTGATGACTGATGAGTCCAATGAATGTTTGACTCATGTAGACTTAAAATATGCAGCTGAAAAGCTCAGTTAATTCAGAAGAGACACAGCATAGCTGTGATAGCATCTTGTAAAAGCAAGATCCAAGACAAGTAGAGATGCAGTAACACTAGTGATGAAAACAACTGGGGTCTTTGGATTTCTCAGGACAGCTGAAAAATGGAAGAACTTTTTCATTAAAAATTTCAAAATTCCATTGTTTTCCCCTTGACAAGGTACAAAATGTAACCTTTTTTTTCTACTGTTTACATGATATTTTTGTAAGCACTGGAATTATTTTTGTTGCCTGTCCATTTTCTTTAATTTTTCCTTTTTGTTGCTTTAGTTGAATAAGTGAATAATATCCAAAATTTTAGTTTGGTTTGGAAAAGCTATAACAGCAGAAAGAAAAATGAAACTACTTTAACCACTTTAGAGAGTTTCAGTTTTCCTTTGTTTTTCTCTGTAAGTCCTCCAGAATTAACAATTTTTAAGAATTAGTCTGAAAAGAGGAAAAATAAGGAGAACAAGGATGAGGAGGGCAAAAGGAGGGGGAAAGAAAAATAAGGAGGAAAAATCCATACTACTACTTATTCTCTTACAGGGAAAAAAAAAAAAGAAAAGAAAAGTAAAATTGGGAAATAGGTGCTTAATATTTGTTTTAAACAAAAAAAAAAATGGGAAAATATGAAAAGAAGCTTTTGTTTTAGTCTTTTCTTGTGGATGCCAACCATTTCTCTGTCAGCAACTGTGTAATTGACTTATACAGTGAACATGTGGCAACTATTTTCAGCTGTATTTAGCCAAGTCTGCTGCCTTGTTTCAGACATAATGAAAGCTTCCAATGCCCAATTGTTGCTTTCCCAGGTTTACTATGGGATCTAACAAAAGCCATTTCACTTAAAAGCCTTTGACTTAGTTTAAAAAGTAGCAATGTTTGCATCTAAGTAAGATTTAGGACAGTATCAAGGGATAAATCTGTGTCTGGTACAATTAATTTTGAAGGCCAGCTCTGGTAAGGATTTCCACTTGGTAGCCCAGTCGAGGTGTCCCAAAACCAACTACCTTCAAAGCTGCTTCACGGAGCTGTAAAACTAATAAAGGCTTGTGCTTCAGCAGCTGGACACCCTGAGGCACACAGAAAGCAGAGCCAGAAACTCCAGCTGATGTTCTCCTCCTCCATGGGACAGTTCTGGGTGACACCAGGGTGTTCCCCACCTCTGTGTTAGATCCAAATGTCACTGGAGTTAACAGGCTGTAAAGCAGTGGAGACCACAGCATTTAACTGCCGACTGTAAAACTTGGGGGATCTTGTTTCTACCAGACACCTCACAGAGAAATCTGGTTTGTAATGAGCCAAAAATAAACATTTGAAAACTGGGAGAAGAATACATGAGTGTCTCCCCGACAGTGGCAAATATCAAGGCATCTAACCACAAGCTAATGTTAAAAGATTTGAAATCTCTGGAACCAGTCTTAGGTTTGTGCTCCCCTAGAAAAAAAATTGACCATTTTACTCCTCTTATTCTTTTTTAAAGTGTTGCTCTTTTACATTTAAAACATCCAAGTGACACAACTATATTTGTGATCAAGTGTCTTCTTGCTGTAGGTTTTGGGGTTTTTTTCACTGATTCAGATGCTGTAATATATATAGTTAATATATAATGGTGTCTGTAGAGGCTTCATTAATGGACTGAGACTATTCAGTGCTCTATTCCAAGCCATCAAATCATTCTGTAGTTATTCTGGGCGGGGGGAAATTACCAAGCTAGAATGAAATATCAGAGGTGGACACCAACTTATGTGATTGTGAAGAATATGTGAAAAATGTTGTGATCACAGGAGATGAAGAAACTTTGAGATTAAATTTGTCTTTCTCAGAATTATCAGTTCTCTTCATGAACAACAATGCATCTGGACAATACACCAGTGTCATTGACTTTCACCATTTTAAAGGCTTTTAATACTGATTACTGCCCAGTGAACAAAAGCTTTTCTTGTGAGAAGTCTGAAAAAGTTGATTATATGTACATTACAGCTGAAAATGGATCAGAGAAATAGTAAGTTATGAAAGTACGAACACAAGAGAATAAAACCATTCACTGGGCTTGAATTACTTTATCTTCTTAGGCTGAATTGTGGCTGTGGTCTTTTGCAACTCAAATAAAAAGCATAGATCAAGATGAGATAAAGATAACGGAGTATTGCCATCATTAGGCAATAAAATCAGTAGCAGGAATGGAAGAAAACTTTGATAACCTGAGAGAAAAAATTTTTAAAGTTATGGTAATAGACGCAAAAGTCCTCTGTAGCTACTGCAGTTGAGTGAATTAGGCACTGAGACAATGAAAAGATACAAACATCTGCTCTTGCATTTCTTCATGGAGATATTTGGAGCTGAAATTATTCTGACCAGCTGAAGGGACTGTCTCTGATGTTCCAGTTGAACATGGTTTGAAAGCAGCTAAAAGTTGAGAGTGGTAACAACTTTCATGTTAGGGCCCACACAGGATGGTAATTGAGATTCAAAATTCATTCAAAGTTCCATTTTACACTGGGGAAAAAGAAACAATTCTTTTCAAAAAAGCAGTTTGGTTCTTGAATGGATTGTCCAAGGACTTTAAAAACATGTTTCTTTCTATATCTTGCAAAGAAAATTAAGTTTTAATTCCTTTATGTTTGTTTTAGCATGAAGGAGGCAACAAAGCCATCACTGGAAGAATTTGTGTTGGTAACAAGAGCTCATACCTCAGGAGAAGAACAGCCTGGTCTCCAAGGTTGAGCAGAGTTTGTAAATTGAGCAGACAGGGAAAAAAATATGATAAATATCTTTCAAAAATGCATTTTTGCTCTAGAAGCCACAATGAAGACCATGGAAGCCCCATTGTTATTCCTGTGCAACAAAGCACGGACTTTTTAAAACAAAAGATCCTAAATTAAATTTTAGCCACTGTATTAAAGGGTCATTTCCAAAAGATGAAAGTACATTCTGTGGCAGTGTAAAAGGATAATAGAGGGCAAAAAAAGAATTACAACACACTCGTATTGTGGAAAAAAGAGCATGAGTTTTGATATCCATGAAATGTTAGATTTTCCGCTATTCACAAGGCTCTGCATCCTTAATATCTGTAAAGAATGGTCATCTCACTTGCTAAAATATAACCCAAATGCTCAAGCCACTCAGCTAAAATACTCCAAAGTAGCCACTCCATCCAGCTGATTCTGCCATTTAGCACTTCTCCTGTAACATCAGCAGTGTAACCTTAGTCCCCAAAAATTGGAGGGCGAGTTATGCCATTGACCTCAGTCTGATCTGGCTCTGGGACAAGCAGCTGTGCAGTCCCTTGAGGCTGAGAGCCGTGGGGAAACTCCAGGGCTCTGGAAGAGGAAAACAGCCCCAGATGCCTCAGCTGAAGGGGAAAGTCAGAGCTACTACCTCTCTCTGCAGCTGCCAGGAGCCTGAAGTAGTGGGGCCAGATTTCTGGAGAATCACAGAATGGTTTGGGTTGGAAGGGCCCTTAAAGATCATCTTGTTCCACCCTCTGCCATGGGCAGGGATACCTTCCATGAGGCCAGGTTGCTCAAAGCCCCATCCAACCTGGCCTTGAACACTTTGAAGGACCTGTTCCACCCTCACAGTAAAGAATTTCTTCCGTATGTCTAACCCTGCCCTCTTTCAGTTTAGAGCCATTACCCTTCATCCTGTCACTCCATGCTCTTGTCAAAAGTCCCTTTCAGCTCTCTTGGAGCCCCTTTGGGCACTGAAAGGTGCAGTGAGATCTCTCCAGAGCCTTCTCCTCTCCAGGCTGAACAGCACCTTCTCTCTCAGCCTGTCTCCACAGCAGAGGTGTTCCAGCTCTTGGATCATCTTAGTGGCCTCTTCTGGATTCACTCCAACATCCTTCTTATCCTGGGGGTCTCAGAGCTGGATGCAGAGCTCCAGATGGAGTCTCACAAGAGTTCACCCTGGTACAAAAAAGGAGAAATCCCAAATCAGAGCCCACCTAGTGACACACTGGAAGGTGCTGGGGCAGCCTCGTGTACAAACAGCCAGTGTTGGCCATTGGGGGTTGGTGTTCATCATAGTGAGAAATTCATGTGTCCACGTCTCTAGACACATTGCTCAGACACCAAACCTTTTTATTAATTACTGGGGGACACGTGAGACCCTCGTGCTGTCTCACCACGTGTCACACTCTCCAAAGTGCACATACACACACACCCCTGCACGGACACTTGCTTGCAACCACTGTCTTCTCAGCCACAGAGCAAAACCGCTAATTAATGTTTGTTAAAATTAATATTTTTTCCAGGCAGTATTAGTCACACTTGAAGCATCCTGAGCTTCCAGTAGGCTGTCTTAATTAAAGTTTTATCTCCCACTTAATGGAAGAATTATTACCAATTTTGATCACTCTCTTTTCTTTCAGATAGCAACAGTGCTGTATCAGACTTTGTGTCCCTGTATACAAAGCAAAATTTCTTTCAGATTTCAAAGGCAGGCTGATTTATTTTGCAATATTCTACTGCATCCTGGGATGTCTTGGATCCAGTGCTCTCACCCCACAGTGCAGAAACACGCAAACAGGTGTTCCCACAAAAGGAAAGGACAGTCCCCATGATGGATATTTTTATGGAAAGCAATTTGCACAGCTTTGTTTTCAACTGCTTCAGACATTTTCAACAGCGAAAAGCCATCCAAGTACTGCTTCTAGTTACAAATGAAGGTTATTCCTTTTTTTTTAATCAAATAATAATTCAGCAACACTGATTTCCCTAATGTAAGGTCTATTGCCCTCATGCAAGTCTGGAATAATAGCACCATCATGAATGGAATTCAATCTGGAGTCATTCAGGGCAGCTGAGATCCAAATTCCCCAATCAGTAACATTTTGTTCCAGATTGCAAAACTTCTTGTTAGAACACAAACACTCTCTTTACAAGAGTTTAAATGAGTTGTTAGTGACGTCTTCACAGAGAGAGTTGGAGAATTTATTTGTACTTCACAAAGAACCTCTTCCTCTCCTTAAAAGCACCAGTTGTTTTAATTTAAACTATTATTAAAGGTTTTTTGCCCTGAGTGTGGTGTTGGATGTACAACTGTACATCATCTCTCTATCAGTGTAGGAATTCAATGGCATAAAGACCAGGCACTGGAGTGAGACAGATCCTTGTATTGCTTCCCTCAGCTTGCCAGAATTAATCCAGATTTACATGCCACTCATCCATAAGGGACGGTTAGTGACTAATTCTTTCCTCATAACCATGGAGCAGCAGGGAAGACAAGACCCTCTATGTATTTTAATTGAAAAGAATGGATTGGTACACCAAAATGTGCCTTCTTCAGTCACAGACTCAGACCTGGATCAAGTGACAATATGCCCTAGAAACTGCAGCATCACCAGCACAGTGACCCAAGTCAGGAATGATTTGGTGGCATTTTAAGCATTTCTTTTTCTCTTAGGAAAAAAAAAAAAATAGCAGCCAATCTTCCTCTTGTGCCACGTTGACGTCAGGAAACACAGAAATCTACAGAATTCTCTTTAAAGTACTTTGGCCGCATGCAGCGGAGCTTAAATAGGATCAGCTCTTTCCTGACAGGTCACAGTATGCTGACTAAGTTTAGTTACACTTTATGATTTCAAAGGCTTCTCCCCAAAAGATACTCCCCTCTCTCCTCTGTTGTTTTTTTTTTTAACAGCGCAATGATCAAAGTGCTTTTGAAAATGCTATTCATGACTACTTTGAGCTAAAAAATAAAACGTAAAGTGATTCCAAGCAGCATTTCATTTTAATTTAAGTGATGCATAAATTTTGCACAACTGCTCAGCTTCCTCCATTCAACCACTATAGATAATAAAGAGTTATTTATAATATGTGGAATATGCGAATAGTTCTATTAGTGTGAAATGATGCCATGTACAAAAGCTGAAGAGATGCCCAAGAACTTTAAAATGCCCAAGAACTTTAAACCAGTGCAAGGGTGCTGGGTACTATGAAGAATTAAGGCAAGAAGATACAAGTGAAACAGAATCATCACCTTTGATTTAATTGCTGTCATTTTATTCAAGCTTTGAGTTATATGGAGCAAAGTTTTAAAAACTGGAGAGCTTTATTATTGCAACTGAAAGGGAGAAAGAGGAATATTTCTGCCACTTGCACAGGGTATCTCAAGCATGTAACATGAAATGCAGCCTTGTGCAGAACTTCAGCAGAGATGAAAAGCACTTTAGTCTCCAGAGCAAGTTTACGTTTTTGTGGCGTTATCTAAAATACTCTCTCAATGCAAACTCCATACTTACCTTGGGAGGAAAAGCCAAGTCCTTTCTGCCAGGATTTAAACACCCTGTTCCTGAGAAGTGTATGTTTTCCATGCTCAGACTGCCAAACCTCCTGCACCAGCACTCATTACATGAGTCCAGCAAGAGTTAAGGGCAATCTACGTCCCAAAAAACCAGACTTTTTTGCTCATTACACCTTTTTTTTTTTTTCTGAAATATAGGGCTTCTCCAGGGGACCAGCTTCAGCTCCTAAGTAGGAGTATATAATGACATAATATTCTAGGCACAGTGTCTGCAGAGGTACATCCCATGTGAAAGGCTGTTACTAAAAAACATTGCCATCTCTTTGGTATCCTTGGGAAAAAATGAAGGGGAAAACCAGATTAAGTGTTAGAGCAGAGAGAAGGGGGAGCCACTGGCATTTGTGCTGTTGATTCTCTCCAGTTTGGGGGGCTGAGAAGTTAATGCATTCAGCTCGTTGGAACGCCAGCCTTCCCTCACATTATTCATACAACTTAACTCCAGCTGCCTCCTCCTCATCCCTCCTGCTTCGCCTTGTGCTTCTCAAAAGGCATTTCTCTGCACGGCACATCAGAAACTAAAAATCTAAGTTGCTATCTTACTTCCAAACCAAGCTGTTGTCAGCATTAAACCTACACAATGCATTACAATATAATCCATTTACAGGGTGTCTTATCATGCAAATAACTCAAGGTGCCTCACAATAAAATAAAAAGGACGAGAGGAATAAACCTCAGCCATTGGAACACACAAAAAGGAAACCTTGAAATTTACTTTTAAACACACTAATGGCTCTTTTCTCCCAGTGAGGCATGAAGAGGGACAGGGCAGAGGATTTGACCAAGGAATTCCTATTAGCATTTGATGTGACATAAATGTGTAAATCCACCCCAAGGTTACTGGGAGACCAGACTCCTTAAAAGGAGAAACTTCCTTCATACCTTGAAGAGAGAAGATTCATGAAGGCACAAATGTTAGAGGAAACCTTGGCCACTGAAAGATCATCTCGTTGGCCTAGATCTAAACAGGAGTAAGGCCTGAATTATCCAATTCACAGCACAAACCATGAAAGTTCACCATAGCACAGAAGCAGAAATTGTGTTTAAAAGTAAGAACAGCTTTGACCAGGGCTTACCTCTGACTCATTTCCAAAGAGGATCCTTAAAATTAATGTTCCATTATCAGTGTAGAAATAGCAAATAAAAGGCACTTTTTTTTTCCTTCCTACTTAATTTGTTTTCATTTCCATAGTTTTTCCTTAGATTTATAAAATGCTCTTTGGACAAGATGAATTGGCAGTTCCCCCCTCTCCTTTGCCCCCCTGGGTTGAAGCACAAAGCAGTCAGAGGCATGAAGCAGATTGTCCCAGGAGCAGAGCACAAATCACACTTTGAATGATTGCTCTCCCTCTCTCCCAGCTCATGTCGTGGCCCACGTTATTCCCCTGGTCAAACCAAATAAATTTTGCCAAAATGAAAATCAGAGGATGGGGCAAAGCAAATCATGGAATGGTTTGGATTGGAAGGGGCCTTAAAGCCCAGCTCTTTCCAAGCCCTGCCTTGGGCAGGGACAAATTCCATTAGACCAGGTTGCTCAGAGCCCTGTTCAACCTGGTCTTGGATATTTCCAAGGATGGGGAGTCCACAACCTCCCTGGGCAACCTGTGCCAGTCCTTCACCCATCTCACAGGGAAGAATTTCTTTCAAATATCTGATCTAAACCTTCCCTCTTTCCTAGACCTCACCCACCTCGTATGGCACCCAGAAATAAAACCATCCTAGGAGAGTCACAGTTTGAGTCACTGTTCCTGCTCCTTAGAGCCCAATGTTTAATACTGCAACATTGCCAAATACTGGAGATAAAAGGCAGCTCTAGGAACAAACATGTGAAGGTGCCAGCTCTTGTAGCACAATCAAGGTATTTCCTTTATTTTCTTCTCATCATTTTTCAAGGTACCTGCAAGTTCAAATTAAAGCAATTTGGTGAGTGTTCAGCTTTGAGGCATTCAGGAAGGGAATTAGGAGGACTGGAGCACCTCAACTATCAGGAAACAATGGAAAGCATAGGATTCAGCATACAATGAAAAAAACATGGATATCTTGGCACAGTTGAAAAATTCTTCCTGCTCCCAAAAAATAAAAAAACTCCACAACCCAAATATATCCAGCATCCAAAATTTACTACTTTTTTAATTAGTGAGCATTAACACAACATTCAAACCAAATAGTTCAGCTAGCATCCATCTATCCACTTCTAATTTTACTGAGGAATGTATAACCTATTTCCAAATCTATACTAGCAGCCATTATAGAAATTTATTATTATGCACCAATATTTGCTCTACTTCTGGAGCTCATTGCAGCCAGCCTTGCCTACAAGCTGAGTTAAGTCTACAGACAAATTAGCAGAAATATAAATTGCCATTTTACATTTTAAACACCTCTCCCTTTCTTTCAAGGTCACAGTAGCCATGGTTTCTGTGTTGCTGAACACTGGCTCTACTCAGATTTGAGTGATCTTTTTCTTCAGGATTTCCATTTCCACATTCATTCCCACAGATTTAAATCCAGAGTAATACTTAAATAGTGAGTGATTTTCCACATTTCTAAATGCTATCAGATATTTTCCTATGGCCCAGGCTAAGCAGTAATGAACTCCTAAAGT